CCTGCCCGGCGCAGCGCGGGGGCCGCTTCCCCCTCAGCGTTGCTGCCCGCCCTTAAGAGCGGCGCGCCCAGCCCGGCTCAGCCCTGCCCTGTCCTGCCCGGCGCAGCGCGGGGGCCGCTTCCCCCTCAGCGTTGCTGCCCGCCCTTAAGAGCGGCGCGGCTCAGCCCCGGCCCCACACCGCCACACAGCTCTGCGGCGGCGCTGCGCTCCTCGGCGTTTGTTCGGGACGGCGGCGGGGACACCCATGGGGCACGGGCGGCCCTAGGCTGCCCGCCGGCCGCAGCATGCCGCTCCCTGTGCGCCCGCTGTGGCTCCTGTGCCTCTGCAGCCTGTGCCGCGGGTACTTCGAGGGGCCGCTCTACCCCGAGATGTCCAACGGGAGCCTGCACCACTACTTTGTCCCCGACGGGGACTACGAGGAGAACGACGACCCGGAACGGTGCCAGCTGCTGTTCCGGGTGAGCGAGCAGCGGCGCTGCGGCGCGGCGGCACCGGCGGCGGGCTCCGGGCTCAGCCTGCGGGAGGAGCTCACCGTGCTGGGSCGGCAGGTGGAGGACGCGGGCCGGGTGCTGGAAGGCATCGGCAGGAGCATCTCCTACGACCTGGACGGCGAGGAGAGYTACGGAGCCTACCTGCGCCGCGAGTCCGCCCAGATCAGCGACGCCTACTCCAGCTCGGACCGCTCGCTGAGCGAGCTGGAGGGCAAATTCCGGCAGGGGCAGGAGCAGGGCGGACGGGAGGAGTCCCGCCTGGGAGACAGCTTCTTGGGGCTGCTGCTGCACGCCCGCGCCCTGCTCCGAGAGACCCGCCACGTCTCCAGCGGGCTGCGCGACAAGTACGACCTGCTGGCGCTGACGGTGCGCAGCCACGGAGCCCGCCTCAGCCGCCTCAAGAATGATTATCTCCGCTCCTGAGAGCCACCCCAGCCCTGCCGCCAGTCCCCTGTGTCTGCCTGGAAGAGCACCTCCTTGGACAAACCCTAAGAATCAGGGCTTTTCGACCTCGCGTCAAGTCCGACCTTTGAATGTCACCTGAACCTGCCTTGAGAAGTGCCGCATTTACTCATCTTTGAACGCTTCCAGGGRTAGTGACTCGACCAAAATGCATTCTCCTTCGTGGAAAGACCTTATTTATTTTGTTTTTGCTTTCTAAATACATAGCACAATTCTATAAAACCGGGAGTTTCGAGGTATGTCTAAGTTAATRTCCCGTATTCCGAAATCTGCCGTCTGTTACTTCATTCATCTTTGGTTGCAAAGTGAAGGAAGCGTTGTCATCTCGGATTCCCTGTTGTTCGTTTGTATATCACCTGTTCTGCCATAAGTGTAGTTGAAGTGAGGTGCTGGCCAGCTCCTTCCAGACTCCCGTGTAGCAAATGCTTAAATTGCTTTTGTTGTTAGCCCAGGGTGAAACCTCTGGCCCTCTGTTTGCTTTCTTTGTAATGGTATGTATCCTATGCAAGTTAAACGTTCCACTACATAAAACTGTGATTTTTCATTTGCGTTTGGAAAGATGGGAACCATTCTGGCAGGATTTGTACTTCCAGGCTTGCTTATCTGTGACTCTAAGCTGTCATAACCCTAAGAACCAGCCAAAAAAAAAAGCTTATGTCAGATCCTGAGAATGCCAAGATTATTTTTTAATAGCAAAAAGAATGAGCCCTAGTGGTGAATTACAGTTTTGGATCSCAGGTTTGAGAGCCAGGAGCACGTTTCTAAAGCAGACGAAAAGGTTTTGTCTGTGCCAGCACAGTGACTTTTCTTGTTGGCGACTTTGTACTTTTGCTAGCTAAGCTRTTAATAAAACTATTTGTGGTCCTAGACAATAGCAAAAGTGCCCAGTGGGAAGGAGGGTGGGGGTTATTTGGGTTTCTAGACTCATTTAACTGATAATTTGGAGTAATGTGGCTATTAGGGTACAGATACTGCAGGCAGATTAGATGTTTGGATGAAARAAGTTCATGGGTTGTTGTAATAAATATTTGAAAACAATGTTATAAGTACATTTGTCTTATTAGTTTCCGAGATGCTCTTAATTTTAAAACATTCAGTTGAAATGTGCCTTTTCAGCAAAAGAATTGCAAGTTTGTAGCCCCTRCCAAGTGAAATAACTTGCTTTTTAGGTAAAACAAATAAAAATTTACACACGACGTATGCAAGTTTCTTTAAAGGAACAACACAGAAGGGCTTGTTGGGCAGACTTTTGAATTTGTAAGCCTTTTGAAGCACTTAGGAGCCCCATGGCACTGGAAGAGAAGCTGACGCACTTTGGAGGTGTGTTCTTGTTAATCCTGCTGTCATTCAGTTACACTTCACCACTTCATCTGCAAACCATCCAGTGGTTTATTCACTGCAGGGAATTATTCAGCTGCACAGTGGCTCAACAAAAGTCAGCAGGGACCAGAGCACTGAAGGCACCGGCAAAGTCTCACAAGGGTAGGTTCTTACAGAACCAGGCTCATTTCGCTGAAGGCAGTGAGATGGAGCCTGCTAGCAAGATACTTTAGATGCCACTTTGCATTTTTGAGTCCTCAGTATCTAAAGATTTGCTAAAAAAAATAAAGGAAATGTTTTATTGGTTGACTCTTTATTGGTTGACTTTTTATTGGAACCACGCTGTTATTTTCCTGTTGTCAAATTAGAAAGGATGACAAGTTCTAGGTCTTAAAAATGGGTTTATTTGTGATACTTTCCTTGCCACTAAGGGTGGATGGCACAACACAAGAGTGAGCTGAGTTGACTGCTCACTATCTCAGCAAACCATATGGCATTTCTGAGCTGGACCAGCCTTCAGAAGTGCCTGAGATCAGTCTCCCCCAAAGATGTCATGCAGTTCCATTTGTGCCCAGAGGCTTCTTGAAGCAAGTTTTTAGTCTCTGTTTACCTACTTTGAGTCATTGGCTGTCACATGAATTATAAACATCAGTAAATAAACTAAAATGGCATGACCGTGCTATTTTTTTGGGGTATATAACAGCAGTATTCAAATCCTGATGGAAAAATGGTGGTTGTAGTATAAAACACAGCTTCTTGAATATGCTTTAGGCAGCTTGACTATTGTAGTTGCAGTAGCAAACTTCTGATCGAGCTGAAACTATTCCAATGTATGCAACATACCAAAAGAGTAAATGTTTGCAGAATGCTTACTTTCCAAAGCAGAAGATATGTGAGTATTTACAGTATAACTTGTTCCACTCCATGCCCTGTAAATTGTTTTTAATGGAGCAAGACTATGGTGCTTTATAATCCACACTCATGTTTCGGATAAAAAAATATTAATTTCTGACACTTTTTTATGTTGCAGTAAAATAGAAACATTTTTATTTTTTAATTATGGCAGATTTCTAATTTTGTTTCAGTAGCATTGATTTTTAAAGGCTTCAAATGTTTCTTTAAAAAGAAAATGAAGGCATCTTGAGTCTGGTCTATGTGTTAGTTCACACATTTAAGAAAAATGGTCAATCTTATGTGGATTTAATGAAGCCAATACAAAAATCTTTCAGGACATTTAAATCTACTAGAATTTGATTTACATAGTTYTGGCTGGTCTGAGCAAATGTGTATGTTAAACATATAATTGTTGAGTCAATGCTGATGACATGAAATGGTTTTTATAAAGCTGCCTGCAAGAACTGCGTGCTTAGTGATATTCAGAATTTCAAAGTTTTAAATTCAATTTTTTCCTTTAAAAACCATTAAAACTATATTGCAATACTTTTTGCAATCTTATAAATGTCCTGCTTTTGCTTTTTTATCTAATAAAACTTATTTATTTGGAAGGYACGAAGATCCCTTGMGTTTATACAGSCTAYTTCAAATAGAAAAGGCCCTTTTATMMCTGAAAATTTGGTAATTATTTTTARGCAGAGAGCTTTAAAAGGATGATTGTAGCAGCTGTTTTGACCCATTATGTCCTCCTGTTGTGTTTAAATATTGCATTGGTATTGGACACTTTTTTCTTTTCTTCAGAATGCAAAAGTTTGAGCTAAAGTTGAACTGACTTAGTGGGGGTTTTCTGTATATTTTCAAAACATGTATTATTTCTGAATTTATTAAAGAGCTGAAGGTACTGAAGAGCCAAATACTATTTTCTGGGGAAAGAAATGCTGCAGCTGGAACAGTCATAGAGACTTTACTTAATACTTCAGTTTTCCATCAAGAGGAACAGATTTCCCAGAGAAGCTGTGGATACTCCATCCTTCATCACTAGAAACAACCTTGTGAGCTACAGGGCTCTGAAATTGTGTATTTTGGGGAGAAATTCTGTTGGATGTGTCTATTCCTGTTGCTGTGGCTGTTTATTGTGATGGTCCTCACGTTGCTTTACCAGTTTCTTGCTAATTTTTCTTKAATATCAATTTTGTGATTATTAAAAGAAGTTTTCAGCTAACAGTGAAGTGTTGTCGAGTGAAGTGCATTTCACAGCCTCTATTCTTGAATTCARTCTGTCATTTTCCTGTCTTTTAAAACGTATTTTTACTCACAGATCATTGGGGAATTTATTTAAGTTTTATTACCTACATTTTTTTTTCCTTTGGTGAACCATTAGCAAAAAACTGTTCAATTTGTGGGTCTGTATTTCATTCCTATAGTATGTAAAACTGGCAAAAAGCCCTGACTGTGCTACATGTTTTTTTTAAAAAAAGCTTGTGTTAGAACATATGTGTTTAAAAAGGCTAAAACTGCTTATTTTGGTTTTTTCATTGAGTTGTCATCCTGCCTACAACATCAATTTACAACTGGAAAAGGCAGAATTTAATGACTAACTCTGCAACAAGGAAAACATATGGTCTCCATAACCATTACATTTTTAACGATGTGGCTTGGACAGAGTCATTCATGTCTGTGTGGAGTCATTCCTGCTTGAAAAGTGCCTCACCTTGGGGAGGTATTGCTGGCAGTCTCCAGCATGCCATTAACATTCTTTCATAGGGAAAGACAATGCCAAAAGTACCATATTTTCTCAGATGACAACCTTCCTTAGACTTTTAAGTGCTTAGAAATTGTCTGTATAGCAGTCATTGTTCACGTCTGCACTTTCTTTGGAATCATTATCATTTGGAATCATTTTAAAAGATTCATTATGCAGTGCTAGATATTGTGAAGTACAAGATGACCAAAAAAGCAATGTACTCACATCATATTTTCCATATATTTTCCATGTATTTTCCACTCTGCAGATTTTTCCCTGTAACAGGAGTCACCAACATGGAGTCATTTTAATGTTATAATAGCGACTTATTAACACGAATAGTTTTATATTATACATTTTGTGTATAATGTAAATACAATTATTTACATTAATTGAGACACACTCCAAACAACAAAATGTTTTTTTTCTGTCCATTTGTTATATCTTCTCAAAAATAATGTGACTGTGGTTTTCAGTTTAGTGTTAGGTTTTAGTCCACGACAATGAACTCAGTGGACTTTTAGTTTTAGGTTCTCAGCTGAATTTATCTAAGACCTCGTTATGCCTTTTCCTGGGTGATGATAAATTCTTTCCTTTACATTTCTGTGTGGGCAGTTTCTTGGGTAATGAAGAGGAGTCAATTTTTCATTATAGCAGGCTTTATCCTTTTTTTAATTAATATTATTTTGTTCCTAATTTAATRCAATTCAACTGAGATTCGTATTAAAAATCAGAAAAACATGACTTGAAGATCTAATCAATTTCTGTGTCTAAGAAGGAAAACATCCAGAGGGCATGTTGTAAYAAATGTTTTTAGTCACTCTGAAATGGGTTTTCATTTTAACAGTGACACTGTGATATGAATAACTGAAGGAAAATAACGAACAGCCTCTTTATTGTTATGGGATTTCTCTTGGCGGGTGAATAACCTGAAGAATTGGTTTACAGTGAAGACAGAAACAGAAGTCTAATGCAAACACTACAGTGTATTTAAATAGTAAATGCTTAATTTCACCACAAGGGAAATCTTTTTGCTGTAATAATTTTCACACTTCCTCTTGCAGAACCAGCAAACTGAATAATACCAAAGCTCMAGTGCCTGATTCTCTTCTAATTAGCAGTGGTGATACGCAGTCACAAGTTCATTGACTTCAATAAACAGACATAAATGAAAGAGCTGAGTGTGTCTTGGGGCAGTGAAGCAAATAGATTCACATATTGAAATAAACTCTGGAAGGGTTCAGCGTGAGGGAGGTCACAGTCCCAAGGCTCATCACCACGCTGGTGCCAGGTTTGTACACATTCCCCACAATGAAGGGGACAGAAGGAGAGGTTTTGGGCTGTGGCATCATCCTGGTCAGAAGGAGTAGAAACAAAAGCTGGCCGAGATGCTGGGTGGATCGAATCGAAGGGATTTTTGAGCAGAYGTGTCTGAGTACCTGCTCCCTAAGCGACATTGCTGAAGCCTGGGCAGTCCCAAGGGAGGGTGCAATCATTCTCCTTTCGCCGGACTGACTTCTTCCATGGTGAGCTGCTCTCGGTGGTGTTTTAGGATCTCCTGAGGGCTCTCTGGCTCTCACTGTTCCACTGCCGAGCCCAGAAGGTGGCGGGTGGTGACTGTCACCCTCACAGGGCTCGGAGCCCCTGAGGCCGGGCYGCACAGGGCCGGGACGAGGGAGGAGCTCTGCCCTGTCCCCAGCGCCTTCTGCCGGAGCTCCACGGCTCCCAGCAGCTCAGCATGAGCCCGGGCATTCGCAAAGTGGAGAGTTTGGGCTATTTTGTGTGCGTGGAGTGGGAGGATGGCGGGGAGAGCCGATATCCGTGTGTGTGGCTGAGGGACAGCTGCCCGTGCTCCCGCTGCTGCCTGCCCTCAGCCGGGGCGCGCCGGCTGCTCCTGCAGGAGCTCGATATCAACATCGTGGCCCWGCAGGTCGCTCTGACAGACAAGAAAAAGGTATTTAAAACAAATCGTTCCTTCATCTTCTCGCGAAATGCGCCCGGCGATGATCATCGGTCTAAATTCGAGACGGTTCCGAGTGACGCT